CAGCCAGAACTATCTGTCACCGCTACTTGTTATTAACTGAAAACTAAACTTTCTAGGAATGTACTCCCTCATGCAGTATCTGATCTACACATCTAATGTCAGGCCAAACATATTAGACAGGACCCAACTGGCTGTATTGTTAATAATTTACTGAAACAATATTTTAAGTTTTGCCTGAGCACAAGTTTAATTGCTCTTCATGAAATGCACCAATGGCAAAGTCACCTTTAACATTGATTTTGGTAAGTACAGGAGAACACCCCTCCGGGTGGATGGAGAAAGATTGCAAGAGGAAGCTTTTCATTGAATAGCCTACCAGGAGATCCGGGATACTCGAGCTTGGAATGTCAAAGCATTTTGTGAAGCCAAGTTTTTCAAGCAAACATTAAATGTTAATGACATTAAAAAGTCAAAGAGCCCCAACCCAGCAACTCTAGGAAAAAAAAACGCTGTTGAGGCAGGAAAAAAAAATAAATCAAGATATTACAAAACAGGTCAGGTCTCAGGTCCTATCCAGGCTCTGGCATGTTGAAGTAAAGAGGTACCTAACTGGGAAAATTAGGTTTGCTGCTGCTTAGTCCTCAGTCTTCCCTAGTCAAATGCTGACAATTTTCTCTCGAACCCCTTCTGGGTCATATGAGCACAGACATGGCAATGCAGACCAGCAAGGTCTAAAGAGGTCAGGACCTTCTGCTTTTCTCCTGTAAGCTAAGGAAGTTCTTCCTCACAGGTAGCTACTGCCATGAAAACAGTTTTGAGTTGTGGAAAGTTGAGCAACTCACCTCCTCCAAAGCCATTAATTAGGTCATTTCTCTGCTGCAACATCTAATCTTTAGGAAATCAATGGAAGTGAAGACTTGAGCTTAAATTAGAAACCAGGCCACAGATAACATCACTGGCCATTTTGCATTATTAAGAAAGGTTAATATATTGAGGAACTGAATTTGCCAGTACTCCACTGACTAGAAAGGTAGCAAGCCACCTACCACACTTGCCTTGTTTTTCCACCTTCTTGCTCACAGACCTCATGGTGCAGTAAGAGATTGCAGAGGTGGGGGCTTGAATTTCAAGCCCAGAAGAAAATATGCATCCAGATAAGAACTAGCAGGTTGTAAACAGTTTAGCTAGCTGGCTCACAAGGAAAAGGCTACTCTATTTTAACTCACAATTAGGACAGATGTGCTACTAAACTGACAGTTTTGCTTGGACCGCACGACAACGTGACTGGCTCTTCTCAATAGTCACTCAACTTTTTAAAGAAACTCTTTGCACAGTTTTACTTTACTGACTTGCATGCAATGCCTGCTCAAGCTGAGTGAGAGACAGCTGCTGCCTTCAAGAAAAGTCTGCAGAGAAGAATACATTTAAAGCATGGGTTATGTTTGATCAAGCCATCCAGAAGTGCCTTCACCAGAAGAAGCGAGTAGTAATACCAAGAAGCACAGAAACTCTATCGCCAAACAGCGAAGTTTAAAGGTACTCAACAGCCTGACTCTTCTATAAACAAAAGATTGCTGCAGAAAGCACTGAAGTATGAAGATTTTTCTCAAACCAAAAGGAAAGGAAAACCATAATGCCAATACGGTAATACCTGGAAGCCATCCAATTCAAGCAGGGGTTGCTACTACTCTTTCTGTTCTACCCCTTAGTAAGCAAGTGGGACTCAAGCTTCATTGCCCTTCTCATACCAAGGTGAAAGCTCTCCTGGGGCTGTGGCTCAGTCCACAAAAACAAACAAGCCACATATTCAGCAACCTGAGCATACAAAAGACAAGCTGCAGAGCATTGTTATCACATATCACAAATAGCTGCTCATAGCACTCTGTAGAGCAATCCAAAACTGTTCATTTTGGTTCAAGTGGTAGACTGACACTTTAAAAGACTACTCACACCATAGCAATGTCAAAAAATCAGACAGATACTTTGAAAGGTAGTAACAATGGGTAAAGAAATGCATTCAGAAGAGCAGCTCACTTCTGAAAGAGGGAAAATGTGTAATACTTTACTATCAACACACTGGACTGTTTCCTAAGGACACCTCCCAAAAGAACACATAACCCTTCAACATTCACACAATAAAGGAGACAAAACACACTCCTTTACCAAATAACAGACTGAAGTCCAAGCAATCTGAGTTTCCAAAGGGCTGAACAGTGACAGGAAAGCTCCCTATGTAGCATGCAAGCCGATCAGTTGTTTGACTAATACTCAGTATTTCATGTAGCCAAATCAGTTAAAAACTCTTAAACTTTGGATATACAGTGAAAAATCCAATCAGCTGGCTAACAGGGAACATTGTAACATCACCTTTTAGTAGTTCACCTTCACTAACAAGAACTTTCTTGTTATTCTTTGCTTATCTAATCATTGTGGGGTCAGTTTTTAGAGGCCATGGTATAAAAACAATTGAAGACAATTCTGGATTGTCTTGAGGTTCACTTTTACAAAATAGTACATTTTTACCTCCTGATAGCAGAAAAGCTTTCTTCTATTCTTATACTTTATAAAGCGCTTTTTTAGGCTCCTTAATTTCAGTTCAGCTGAAATCATGTGGAACTGGCACGTCATTTATCAATGCTATTTTTCAATCTACAGTAAACTCTTTGTGCACACAGAGCCCAAGATAGAAGTAGTTTGTGAACATACTAGCCAAGCAGACTGGATTTTCCCAGTACCATCTACCACAGAGGCATTAATAACATTTGCTGCTTGTTCAAAGCCTGATAGTTCAGAATAGAGCTGGACTTCCACAACTGCTCTGTTAAATACCTTCAAAGGAGGAAAGTTTTCATGTGATTTGATGAACAGTGTCTTTTGCAGACCAGCTTCTAGGGTGCCCAGATTTTCCTGCCCAGGTACATTAGCATTAAACAGAGTTCCCATACTAGGGTAGATGGCAGGGAATGAAAGGGAATTCATAACCAGGAGATGGTGTGCATCTCTGTTCACAGATGTCAGCAAGAGGACAGCATCAAGTACCAGAGCTCCATGCCATCCCTCATGAAAGGTACTACAGAGAACTCCACATGACATCAGGAGTGGCAATGCTACGTCTCACAGGCGGATGACAACTAGTTCTGCTTTTCCAACTATTCCCTTATCATATCCTTATTCCCTTGTATCCTCGTGTCACTTCCAGGTATGGCATAACACCAGAACATGCAAACGGGCTAAACCAAAACACTTAAAGGGGGCCTAGTCCAGAAGTTTAGGCAGACACACCTTAGACGAGGCACAAACAGAGCTCAGTTCACCATTGGATCTCTAGTCTCAGGATATAGGCAGCTGACTGTCATCCACAAGATTACACTTACACAACAGGATATCAGAACACAAACTCGACTGAGTGAGATTCTGTGATTACGAGAGAGAACCCAGCATTCAATTCTGGCCATATTTGAACCCCACATTCAACTCCAGGAATATTGCTGTCATTCACCCTAGCTAGTCTCTGCCTGCCAAGCGCAACAATGGTTCTGCATGTTAACATTTTGAAGAAGCCAGTCCTAAAATGTTACAGAAGCCTGAAACTGGCCTGAATTTCAACACCTGTATCCAGCTTATTTCAGAAGGATCTTGTTCAAGGGGCCTGAAATTTCCAGGACAGCAGAGAAGCTCTGTAGGGCAGGTCTTCTGCAATGGCAGAGAAGTTTGTCACTTTAACCACTGATGCAGAGCTAATTCACACACTTTGAGCCCAGCTAGAGCAAGATGCTCATGCTGTTACTGTCTGTAAGGGACAACTTTTCTTTCAAAGGTCAGGTAGCTCCTACAAGAAGAACTGCAAAGGAGACCATTGCTATCTGCAACACTGCTGTAAGGGCAAGGCTGAAGTAAATACTCACATCTGAGCCACTCAGATCCTGTTCGTGCTTTAACAGATGTCATGCCAGGACTTTATTCTCACTTTTAAGGCTTTTGCTTAAGCCCTGAAATAGCAGGTATAAGGCAGGTCTGATCAGACTGAAGACAAAGCTGTAAGCATTAGTTCTACAGCTGATCAGATTATTGCACAGAAGGGAGTTACTTGGAAACTTAACTCATTAGCAAATCCCTGCCTGGGGTTTTAAAAGAGCACAATTTAACAGTGCCTTTTTTTTTGACTCCTAATTGAGGCTGTCACTGCAATTCTCAAAGCTTTCAGTCAGAAAGCAGCTTTCAACAAGCAGCAGTTTCCCAATTTGTGGTCTACAGAAAGGCGGCCAAAGTCATGTCACTGTTTTGCAGACACATTTGCAGTCGTGTCTCACATTACAGCTAGCACATAGACAGTGCTATGTGGGAAGTGTGAGGGTCAGCTAAAAGCAGTTTAGCTCTCTCACCGCCTCCAATACATCAGCACTATGGCTGCACTGCAGTTCAAGGAGTAAAATTTGTAGCAGACAGTTAGCTGAACATGATCATTTGCTTTCTCCAGATGGTTTACTTTTTGCTGTTTCTTTGGAAAGTTTTAAGCTGTTTAAAGCTACATCTCTCGCATTTTA